CGCGGCGGCAGAGCCCTCACCCCTCGCCCCTCGCCCCGCGCGGCCGGGACAGCTCCGAGAAACACTCGGCTGGGCACACGAGAAACGGCTCACCCAGCACTGCCTTTCAGTATGGCCTTTTTTAATAGCTGGTTTCAACCAAGCAGGGTTAAGATGTTGTTGCAGAGAGAATATAAATAGAAAGCTCTCCTGGAAGTGAAAAAAGAAAGGCGGCACTAGTTCCACTCAAAGCAACCCTCCAACCTTTGTTACAGACACAGTCTGCGGCGCAGCCAGGCACGCGGTCACCCGCTCTGCTTTACACACACATACACGGCAAACTTGTCTTTTTCTTGCTTTACAGACAGCATTAAATGATCTAAAAAGACATGTTTTATCTTAGCCCTTTTGCTAAAAAGGTAAGGAATATCAAAGAACAGGTGTTCAGCACTGTATAAAATGGAGTTCTTCAACATCAGCCTAAGGAAAACATTAGCAAGAACTGTAGGTTTGGTTCAGTGGGGTAGTCCATAACTAAAAAATCTAGCATATGCTCAGGAATTTGCTAACTTTGTGGGTTGTTTCTTTTCATCCTCTATAAAATACTTCCACCACGTGTCAGAAGACCTTTTAACCAATATTTGCAGCGTTATGCAAGATACACTCATGAAAGCATTAAAAAAATGTGAACTATTGTGTATTCTCTTGGAGGCTCTTGTAACCGGAACAGCCAGAACGGCTCACACGACGCATGCCCTGACAGAAGTGCAGAGGGCACACACTGCCTTAGGAAAGTAAGCAAACCAGGTTGGCTGGTTTATTGCGCTATTCAGTAGATTACTGAGCTAAACAAATACTTGAACTCAAACCCAGCCTCAATAAAGGCTGAGACTTCAGATACCTTTTTGGTTCACTGGTTTATTTACTCTTCTGAAAGAAACACTGATGAGCTGAAGTCAGATACTGTAACTGATTCTGAACTTGAAAAACAGCCATTTTAACCACCAAAAAGAGCAAGAGAACAAAGGTCCCTGCTGCAGTTTGCATTTGCTTTCAACAGCAAACTGCAGAATAACTAGACAGGTAGATCACACACTGTTGAGTTTGAAGCGGTGAAACAATGATCAGTTTGCACGAGGGTGAGGACACGACTGATGTAACATTCTAAAGCAATACGTCCTCTTTCAGAATTCACACGAATCCTAAACTTTATCCCAGAATGAGGACTGCATTGAAAAACATCTTGGAATTGGGGGTTTTTAGGCATGCTCAGGCATGGGCCTAGCAGCTGCTTACAGTAAAGTCTGCACTGTGGGAAGCTCTCACGTCTCTCTCCAGAAACAGTCGGTGGCCTCCCAGCTGTGGAACACCACCTTGCTCCCCCTGGCTGGTCAGGTCCCTCCTAGATCCCCGTTCCCCTTTCACAACACATGACTTTTCAACATTTGCTAGTTTCACTGCTTTTCTGCCAGCCCATAACCCTTGCTGTGATAACCTATACAAACACTAACCCAAAACAGGCCCACCACCACTACCCCTTTTCTCCTGCCAAACCTGCCCCCACTTACAAAGCCTTAAACTAACAGGCTGCCCAACTTCAGGGTCAGAGCACTGCCACGCTGCCCAATTCACCCTGCAGGGCTATTTTTGTTTGAAGAGGGGATCACAACATTTTGGCTCAGACCAGCCCCCTCTATGCTGTGGCCCGCTGACCGGCAAGAAATGGTTCTTATCCCTTTCCACAGGGCTGCTGTTCAACTGGTGAACCTCCTGTGCTGTCTGTGCCATGACCCTGGAAATAATGGGACTAGTTGAAGGATCCTGCTACAGAGATTATACAAAAAGAAGCTAGCAGGCTCAAACAGCAACCCAGTATTTTTCTCCTTCAATTTCCTGACAGGAAAGCAAGTATAAATGGTCTTGTCAAAAACAGATGAGAGCAACTGAATTGATTTTGGATAAAATTAGCTGTTATAGGAGAGCAGAAAATACTGCTTAAAAAAAAAAAAAGTACTCAAAAATCTTGGCGAGGTCCATTACGGTGAGATTTTAAACATAGCTGATGATTTTTTTCTTAGCTGAAAATACTGAGCAGGCATCGTCTGAGTTTTCTCACATAACTATCTGAAAACTGTTTTCTCTCTCCTTTCTCTTGACATGCAGCAATTAATCCAATAGTACCAAGATCCCTCCAACATTAATAGGTATTTTTCATGCCACAAGTAAAAAGGGCAGCTGTAAAAGCTGTCATGCTTTAAATAAGCTACTATGACTGAGGTTCTACAAGGGTCTTAATGCCCTTCTGTGGAGCAAAAATTGCAACAGCACAGCAATCTGCTATTGTCAGGATGAAACCCACCACTGTGTAAAGGCACAGTATAAGGCACATGGCTGCTGCTCCCATTAGAGCTCCAGCTGGGAACACTGCCTGATCAAGCCCAGCAAAATCACAAGACTATTAAGCGAACCTAATTCAAGGAGTCTTCATCAAGAGTGCAACAGGTGGACATTATACCCAGACAGAGGTTGATGAAACTAAACTCTTTCAGTGAGAACAAAGTATCAACAGGTGGACATTATACCCAGACAGATGTTGATGAAACTAAACTCCTTCAGTGAGAACAAAGTACAGAATACCTGCAGCTGAAGCACAAACCTCTACTCAAAATGCTAGATTGAAAGCCTTAGTGTTCAGCCTTGGAGAACCTTCTTGCCAATAAGCGTTTTCTTCAGCAGTGGCAGTGTGATGAGAGAGAAGAATCACAAGCTGAACACAGGTGTCAAAGCAAAGCAAGTGTTTCACATACCTGTAACTGCAGGTTCTTACATTACAGCAGGAGGAGGAGTGGAGGGAATCTCATCAAGGCATATTAGGGTCTTGGCACCTGGACAGCTGTATTTTATCCACGTGAAAAAATGAAGTAGCTATGGGGCTATCAACCATATAGACTGTATAGCCTGACATACTGCTAGAAATCAGCAAACAGACCTGTTTCTGGACTTCAGTTCAGGATTCCCAATAAAGAAAATTCAGAAAAGAATGGTCTCTGCACCTTGGAAAGATACCCAGAGAAGAAAATATCGCCAAGATATTGCACAGGTTGAAGGACAGAAAGTAACAAAGATTTTTTAAACTGGTCCATGAGAATAAGGTGACAAGCAAATGAGATCTAGTTGAAAGAAGAACACAGTTGGAGTACATGCCCCAACTCCTGGTACACGATTGAGAGGAACTGAGTAAATAGTATGTGATTTGACCCTGTGTTTCATCACAAGAGAAAGAAACTGATAGTCCTTCAACCCTCTTTAGTGATGTTAAAGCTACAACCATTTCTTGTCTCCAGTGTCTGTGGAACACAATCACCCACAGCCTGAACTTGGTATTATTCTGAAATGAAAATGTTTAATCATTTTACATTTTTGCAGCTGATTTACACACACTCCTGAGAAAATTACAATAATTTAAGATTAGTGACAAGCAAATACAGAAGAATAATTAACTACATAATTTCTTTAATTATAATTTATTTGCTTAAAAAATACAAAAGTAATTTATAGCTTGAAAAATAGACTTTTGACTCACTTTTAGCTAGTAACAGTACAGATTTTTACAAGTTAGCACACTTGGAACTAATTTTAACGTTTTTGTTTTGGCCATGCCAGATCAGATTGTTTTGGTCTTTGTGAAGTCTTTAAAAATTGAGCTACAAGCTGGATAGGAACCATCAGCTACAAAAACCCTGGAGTTTTTCTTTAATTGAGAACTGAAAGCCTATTTGCTTTTGTATTTCATCTTAATTTAGTGCACAAAAATGTCACCGCAGAGCTGGGTCAACTGTTTTCTTAGCAAGTCACCCAAAAGTTGGTAACAGGCTACTACCAATAAAACATCTTTGTGCATAATCAGTTCAGCACAGCCCACCCCCAGCAACCGTTTTACATTTCCTAGCCATGCCTATGGGACTATATTTGCCTTTTACCCTTCCTTGATGATTAGCACACCAAAGGTTTTAAAGATCCATAGGGAGGCAAGTTGGTCAGTAGAAAACCCATCCCAGGAAAAACACCCCACGTGCAGGACACGGTGGGATTCGAGCAGCTGGGCCACCCAGAGGAGGTCACAGAAGGGACACAGATGCTGCAGCTGGACCACAGCTGTCTCAGGATGATGGGAAGGTTCAGTACAGTGTGGTAACCAACCCAGCAGCAGGGAGAGACTGAAGTACCGTATCACTTAGACATATACGATCACAAATTGCAGTTATGGTTTTTACTGTCCTGTTAATGTCAAGATGTTATAAATAGGAATTAAAACATCTTAATTCTTCTATAAATAAAATGCCAATTTCTACCGGTGCAGAGAACATTTCATTGCTTGTAGCCAGGTATCCATTGCAGGTCTGTATTCCTCCGGGTCCTTCTGGGGCTCAAACACTGCTTCTGTTCGCCTTAGCTTCTTTAGTTGTTCTTTGTCAGTCCAAAATCCTATAAACAGAAAATTCATTCTCCAGCTCAACTGCAAATATGTTCTTTTTCAGTTGTTTTAATCTATTTCCAAGAGATCCAAGGCAGAAGCACAGTAAGAAATCATGACAGCCTTTCTTTACTCAACCAACAACTTTCTCAGAGGGAAGCATATTTTTAACACTGTGAAAATCCTTTCCAATAGGATCCACTTGTTTGGAATCCTGACAACAGCACATCTGCTTAACTGGGACTGTTTCCAAGGAACAGCTCGGTACACTGAAGTTCCCTTAGGTTTCATCCACACTGTGCTTTGGCTGCAGGCCCTTCTCAATGAAGAAAGCCCAAAAAACCCAAGACTTTGCTGCTTTCCTACTGTCTTAAAAATTGCATAAATGGCAGAAAACAGCTGGTGCTACTGATTGAGATTAATTTATGTTATTAAATCATTCTTGTCTGTCAAGGACTCCCCATTTCTTACACTTTTAATTGCTGAGTAAGTCTTACCCAAGCATTTAGTTTTTATCTTCCATTTGTGCTATTTACATATCAAGGCAATTTAATGAAGTTATGGAAATATATTTTGTAGGTGGGTATTAAGCAAAACCATTGACAGTTCGTAGTATTAAGTCTGGTTAGCAACATAAAATTCTTGTCTGTCAAGGACTCCCCATTTCTTACACTTTTAATTGCTGAGTAAGTCTTACCCAAGCATTTAGTTTTTATCTTCCATTTGTGCTATTTACATATCAAGGCAATTTAATGAAGTTATGGAAATATATTTTGTAGGTGGGTATTAAGCAAAACCATTGACAGTTCGTAGTATTAAGTCTGGTTAGCAACATAAAACAATTCTGTGCGAGCTGTTTT